TAACTTCTAAGATGAGCACAAAGAAAACCGAACAGCATAGTTCATTTTTTGGTCGTTATGCAATTGAGAAAACAAACAAAAAATTTCCTTAAAAAACTAGTTATCATCTATTTAGCAGTTTCCTCCTCGCTTTCCCTCGAAGCCGAAAAGTTCTAAAAGAAAATTACATTATCGTGGACGAGGATAAAGCTAAGGTTTACCTATATTTTCCTCTATCCAAGCTATTTCTTCTCATACATCTCATGCCACGACATTTAGTATTTCAATCACTCATGGGATCTATCTTATATAGGTCGCTTAAATATTTTCTGACTCACAAACTCTAACCTGTACATCGAACTTAAACACTTCGACTCACATATGTCATCTTTATTCTTTACTCTTTAATATAAAGGAAGAAAACTTACACTCGTTGCAAGGTCGCATGATACAACATGCTTCCTATGGCAAGGATCATATTTGATATGTGAAGAACGCTAAACCTCTTCTCGAACCTTTGTCTCAAAGCATTTACGAGACCAACAAATGCTAAAATGAGGCATGGAATATTTGATACCGTGTTGAAGAATTCTGCAATATAAGAAGAGTAGACATAGTTCTTTTCACACCATTCAGGAGATGTAACAGGACCCCAGAAACTAGATATTGTTTCTGCCATTCTACGATTAAGTATGCTCGATAATACTTGAATTGCCTGCTACTAGGATGGTTCAGAATTTACGAACCTGCAATCGTGTTATTTAATAAGTAGTAAGTCAGTGCATAAATGATGAAAACACACACACACAAGTCAAAGTAGAAACTACTTCATATTCATCCCAAGCAAATACTGTAACATTCTGAATGAAATATGTATTTAATGCGAAGAATTGGCTGAATTATCAAAGAATTGTAGAACTACAAGCTTGATTGATCAAATTCATGACAGAAAATGCGTGGATGATGACGAGAATAGACTAGCAAACCAATTGAAAACAACATGCAGATATGAAAGACCTACAGAAAGAGGCTTTCCACCTTCCTTCATTCCTTAGTCAAGTAAACGACAATGTCAAAAAAATCCAACTCCATCTTTCGAATTTTACTTCAAATAGCAGAAACCGCCAAACCTAGCTCGCACCAAGCTAAGAAACGAATTGCAGCTTTCATGAATCGCTTCCTAAATTCTTCATGCCGCGAATACGAGCGTCAAAAGTAAACTAACTTGAACACAACGACACAAATGGCAACGTTTTCTGAAGCAAATTTAAAACTACGTTGAACTTTTTACATTTCGTCCATTTTTTCATAATTTCTCGAGCAATTCGTGAAACAAACAGAACTTTATACTCTCTAGACATGAAAATCGAGGAGAAATCCAACTAAATAACCTAAAAAGGCAAATTCAAAACCAAAAACTTCAAAACCGAACGAAAACAAAAATGCTAGAGGCTGAAGAAACTGCTAACCCTTCCGAGATGGATCTGAGCTAGAGAAGAGCCATTGTTGGGAGCTTGAAATTCAAATTCCTGAGGTCTTTCTGTCAATGGTGCGAAGCGATCAGAGGAGAACTGAGCTGAGAGTCCGAACCAATTAGGGCTACCCAGAGGGGAGACGATGAGCGCGTGGTGAAGACATAAAGGAATATGACAGAAATCATTTGTGGCCGTTGGATTAAATACGTCAACGGCTGATATTATTCCGGTCATCGAGCCTTGGCGCGGCTCGTGATAAATGAAATCAAATCCAACTTTACGCGCCTTAACTCCGAATGTGATTTACGCGCTCACGTGCTTTTGAGATCCCACCATTCTTTCTAAAAACATTTTTTTTATGTTTCAAAATCACAAGCATATTTTAATTCTTCCAAATTCATTTAATATTATATTTAATACTATAGAAATTAAATTTAAATAATTAAACCCTGTATGAAAGTAATTTTGAATATAACAATTTTAAAATTAGTCTAAATATATAATAATAATAATAATAATAAATCAAGATGCAAAAGGTTCGAGAAGGCGTTTGGTCAATAATTATAAACAAAAATATTTTAAGACATTTTGGTTGTGTTCGTGTTCTGTGTATTCAGACATTCATCTATATCTTTCAAGAAATGTGCATATAGTAATTATATTCGAGCTTTATCA